CCCCTTTTCAGGATGAACGTCAGCCCCGCGGCTCTGGACCCCTCCTCACCTGGCAATGTCAGGGTAGCCATCACTGCAGGCAATGTGCAGGGCTGTCCAGCCAGACTCATCTCGCTGGTGGATGTCTGCCCCGTACTTGACCAGCAGCTGCACGCACTCCAGGTTCCCAGAGAGGACAGCTTCGTGCAGGGCGGCCAGGCCTGGGCAGGGCAGAGGGTGTCACCCGGGGTGGCAGCCAACCCCCGGCTGGCCCTGATCAGAGCCCAATCCTCACCTGAGGGATGGATGATGTCCAGGGTGACCTTCCTGGCCCGAATGAAGCGCCCCACCTGCACCAGGTCACCCTGGCGGATATGGTCCAGGAACAAGACGTCGTTAGGGAAGTGGACAGATCGGTCGGCCAGCATCCGCTGGCGCCGCTGCTGTGTGTAGCGGGCATAGGGGACTGTCCTGCTGGGCATCCTGTCTTTAGGGAGCTTCTGAGCCAGGGGTGAGGAATGTACCTGCCAGAGCAGACGTGTGTGCTGGCCACCCTGGCTGAGGATGCCCCCCACTTTGGGTCCTCGCTCAGTTATATAGGCCTGCTGAGCTATATAAAGCTGCGCGGTCATGCCCACTGCCCCAGTGCCTGAAACTGAACCGGCCCCTCCTGACCGGGATCATGTTTGGTGGCTCAGCTTTCAGCACACCTGTTGCTGTGCCCAGCCAACGGGGTCAATGTGGCCTTCCTGGCCACAGCTCCTGTCGCACAGCTGGACCCAGAAGGTGCCTTATGTGGGCAGGAGAAGGCACCAGGACAGGGACTGTGGTGGAGGTCCAGACAAGGTCACCATGGGCCCAGAGCCTCAGAGGAAGGGCATGATGGCGTTAACAAGAACCTGCCTTCTGCCCCAACCTGTGAGTGTGAGGCTCCATCCTTCGCCCCAACTTGCACCAAGGGACCTCGGCACCCACCCGTCTCCCTCTGGTGGCTCCTGTCAAGCTGGCCTTGACCACACATCGCCGGCCACTGCCATCATTGGGTTTCTGTTGGATGGTTCTTTGGCAGTAGGTTACCGGCCGTTTTTCTAGTCTGTCCTGATCTGCAAGCACTGCTCTAGCCTGTCCAGCACTTCGAAGCAGCAGGCCTCCCCTGCACTGACAGAGGGAACCAGCGCCTGGTCTCCCCGGGGAGGGTGAGAATTCTACCACCTGCCCCTTCTTACCTTCCTGTGGGACCTGCATCACCACCGGCTGCTTTCCCATACTTGGGACCTTGAACTGCCCTGCTCAGAACCCCAAGTTTCCAGTTGACACGCCTGATGGTAGACAGCTGCCCTCCTAGTCCTTGGTACCCACAGCAGCCTGCTCCAGAGCCTGCCTCCACCCTGCACAGCACCTACCGGTGGTCAGTCCCTGGCCCTGCTATGTGAGTGACCTTGCATTTTACACCACACCAGCAGACACAAGGTAGACACCATGGAAAGGCAGCCAAGGGGAGCTTCCCCAAAGCATGGCCCAGCAGATCCCCCCCTCTCCCAGCAGGCTCCCTGTCCCTGCGGGTTCTTTGTCCCATGAGGTCCACTGTCCCAGCAGACTCCCTATCCCAGTGGGCCGTGTGTCCCAAATGCCTTCACTTTTGGCAACAGCACCAAGAAGCAGAGCTTCCACAGGCAGGCTCCATGCTGTCAGGTGTGTGTTCATGGTGTGTGTGTGTGTGTGGAGGACCATGGGCAGGACTATACAGGTGTGTGCATGTGTGTGTGTGCATACAGGTGAAGAGCCTGTGGGCACATGGATCTGTGCGTGCATGCGTTTGAAGGTAGACCAGCCACAGATAAATAGAAGTTGGGCCGACAAGTCCCAGGAATAACCACGGGGTGGGCCACACTGCAGCTGATGCCTGGGAGGGCAGATTGGCCTCTGGGTACGAATATTGCCTGGGGGAAGCCAGCACCTCTGGGGGAGCTGGGCTCCCCTGGCCTGCAGGCTGATGTTAGATGCCCTTTGGATCCAGAACCTCAGGGTGCCCACCTGTCCCTGACCCTCCTGCAAAGCTGGGCTCCACACATCTGTGACTCTGGGGGACCTCCTCTCAGGCTCCTCTGCCAGGATGCCCGCCCTAGGGATGCCCAGCATGCCCAGTTCTTGGGGTCCCAGAAACAGGCAGTTGTCAGGCCTGAGCTCAGATCGCGTGAGTCAGGTGTGGTTTCCGCAGCCCAGAAACGGAGTGTCCTCTTGTGAAGGGGAGAACGAACTTTCCTCTGATGTGAAGATCAGCTCTTTTTAGGTTGTGGAAAAATTCTGTCTGCACCCCCCCTCCTCCAGAGGAACCCAGAGGATCAAGTGAAAGAGTTTGCTCAGAGCTGGGGCCAGCAGGCGGGATCGCTTCTGGAGGGGCCCCGCTCCATTCTCGAATTGGGCCCAGCAAGCGCGCCCCCCCCCCCCCCCCCCCCCCCCCCCCCGCCTGCTGAGCCCGTTAACAGGGGGGCCAGTGTCTGGCTCTGGGTTTTTCTGTAGTTCACAGAAGAGACTGGGCATGCCAGCCTTTCCAGCCTCAGCAGATCTCCCAAAAGATACTGTGCTTTCTAAGGTGGTGAGCAGGGTTGCCATGGGGACAGACGCCTTCCAAGGGCAAGGTTTCTCCGGAAGTGCTCACGTTCGACTCTGTCAGGGCTCACCTTTGCATTTGGTGATGGGGTCCCCAGGAATGTCACCTCAGAAGGAACCTTGTATCCATGTAGCTCTGTCTCGGCCCCTCTTGAGCTCTTCTGAGGACCAGAAGCTTCCTGCTCCTGGCCCTCCTCCCCTGTGCTGTTTCGGTCCATTCATCTCCCGGAGGGTCTAACTCTTCAGCAACAACCTTCAGCCAGAGACAGCTCCTCCTGGTAACATGTCCTAAGTACCGGTCGGTCTTGCCATCCCGCTCCGGAGGCAGCATTCGGCTGAACTTCGGAGACGCACCTGTGTACCCAGCCGTCAGGGCACCCCCCATCCTCCTAACCAGCACCTTTACTCAAATGCATCCATTCTTCTCTGGTCGCCCCCGTTCCCAGCACACACCAGGTGACTGACGTCACCATGCACCCTGATTCAGGCGCGCCTCAGTCCCCGAGATGACGGATTGCCTCATGGCACGCGGTCTTGATTCCGTGACTGCGGGCTCCCTGCGGTGGACCCCGGGCCAATGAAACACTAGCAGACGGCCCGCGTCGGTCCAGACCAAAGGCTGTAGTCTTCCTCACGAAACACGAGCCCGCTCCACTTTCTGCTGGCAAGGGTGGGCCCCCTGATTGTTCATGACTCTGCCCCCAACCCAACCCGGAGGCCCACTGTGTGACCTGTCGTTCAGCGTACCAGAGGACGGACGTGGTGGGGGGACACACCGTGATGTACCTCAGCTGCAGGGCTGTAACTTTCTTCTTTTGAGGACGGGTTTACCGCGCAACCTGTGGAGACTGCAGAAAGTGCCTGCTCAGCAGGGAGGGTGCAGGTGTCCCAGGGGCTGCGGGAGAGCCACGTGGGGGACACACCGTGCCCTGCAGCCCTGAGGCCTCAGAGAGTCACTCTTGAGCGCGGTGGTTTACTTAGGCCCAGGGCTCATTTGCAGCTGCCTGAAAAGGAGAGAGGGGAGTCCCGCTCAAGGCCTGGCCAGCAGATCAAAGCCAGCGGCCCCCTTTGTGTGGCGGCGAGGAGAGTCCCCCCACAAATCATTGCAGGTCCAGTAGGCGCAATTGTACAGCGAAAAGAAGCAAAGATGATAGTAAAGTCAGAGAAAGCATGAGAGGTAGAGGAGAGATTGGAGTAATGGAGTCAGACACAATTCATGGTAGCATGCTCACCTCAGCCCTGCTTGGTGGTCCTCGTGGGGGGAGCCCAGCCATGAGAGCAGGAGAGTCTCCGGAGCAAGAGCAAGAGAGCCCCCACTTTATTGCTAACCAAGCATTATATCTCATTAGGAGGACATAATTACAGGTAACCACACGTCACAGGAAGGGGCAGTAAAATAGGCATACACATTGTAGGACAGGGATCTATGATAGGGATAAGCGTGACAGGAAGGGGATGAGCTAGGGGTGTGTGCATAGGAATGAGAGGGACTAGGGGTATACATGTGACAAGATGGGCGGACCCTAGATTCATGATGGCAGCCCAACCTTGGTAATCCTAGGGCGGTTTGACCTCTCTGGGGTCTCTCCTATAAGGAAACAGACAACTACTATCCTTATCTGAAGGGAGTGGGCCCTACTTGTTGTGGGATAAACAGTGGTGTCTGCTTGCTCTAGATGGCTGATAGCTCTTAGGGAGAATGACCCCTAATCTACTCCTGATGACCTCCAAGTGTATAGTCATTCAAAAGCAGCTAGGTTTGGCATATATTTGGGGGAGACAGCTTGGGAGAAATCCTTGTGTCCCATACCCCTTGTCAAGTCTGCCTGTGGCTTCCCAGGCACCCCTCTCCAGCACACAGCACCGCCATCCAGAAGCGACTCCCCACAGCTGCCAGATGCCCACACCATCTGGACAGCGCTTCCAGAGACTCCTCTCTTCCTGCCAATCGCATGGTGCCCTGCCTGTGCCCTCATGGCCGCGGTGGGTTCTGGCTCACAGCTGGTCTGTCGACAGGATTGAACTGCCCGTGGTTTTCCAAGACTAACTTTTTATAGGAGAGCTTCATCTTTCTCCCAAGAGGCTGGTGGTTTTGAACTGCTGACCTTGCAGTTAGCTGGCCAACATGCAACCACCCTAACACGAAGGCTTCTCACAGAGTTCCTGGGCCCATTCAGAAACTCAGGTGTTAGCCAACAGGCCAGTGGGAGGTGGTGCCGGGGGGCAGATGTGGGCTCAGGCAGAGGACATGGGGCTGTGGTCGGCTGGCTGCAGCGCCTCATGGCCTTGTAGTGTCAGAGCAGCAGCTACTGCCCCCCAGTTTCAGGATGGGGGTGAGGGGTGCGGGTGGCCAATGGTTTTGTGTGGAGAATCAGCATCAGCCCGAAGCCAGTCCTGAGGTGGAGGCAAACAGACCTCCACTTCTGCCCTGTGCCGGACTGGCTGCTGGCACCATCTCCCACTGAACTCCTGCATGTGACTGCTGTCCTCCGGGCCCAAGGGCAGGGCTTAAAAGGACATCTTATACTGGGCAGACCTAATGCATAAGACCCCTTTAAGTGTTCCAAAGCAAAGCTGTCATTTTAGACTAAATTGTGCCTGACCCAAGATAGTATTTTCAGCACCTCGTGTGAGTGTGGACACTGGACACTGGCTAAGGAAGCTTGCAGGAGAAATCGATGCCTTCGCACGACAGGGCTGCCGGAGCGCACGGCCAGAGTGCGCTCCGTGTGTGCGTTCCCCGAGGGCACGGCACCGTGCCTGTTCGGAGGCCAGCAAGAGGGTCAGCTTTGAGGAGCCACCGGTGACACAAAGCCCGCTGGGGTATCACCACAGGAAAAAGCCAGATGGAGCTACAGGATAGAGATGCCCCCAAAGCCAGCAAGGCTGCTGCTGGATGTGCCCCCCAGAGAGCAAGCCCCCGGAACATGAGCACACACCTGTGCTCACAGCAGCGGCACTGTTCACAACGGCTGTTCCAGAAGCTGCAGTGTCCACAGCACGAGGGTGGATCAGGACAGCCTGGTCCACCTCTAATGGAGCGCTGTGCGTCTGAAAGGCGGTGAGGAAACCAGGGGTCCCCTGACAGAGATGGACCCGGAAGAGGCCTGTGCCAAGGGGAGTTAGTTGCACATGGACAAGTATCATCTGAGACCATCGCTCTCAGAATGAAAACCAAAGACTTGCATAGCAAGGGAGGAGACTGGAGCTCCCCAAGGGGGCGAGCAGGGAAGACGAAGCAGTGAGCCAGCAGACGGACGGGTACTGACTTGGGGGAAATAGAGGATGGAGATCCTTAAGGGAGAGAAGACGGGGGTGGGGGGCACAGAACTGCTGTACTTCAAGTTGGTCTGAAACATAAACCTCCCACCTAACTCACAAAAGCTTCATTCGAGAAAAAACGTACAGAACATAGCTGGATGGCCCATCATCGGCGCAGGTAGCCTCTGGCCCTCCATCCGCCTACCCTCTGACACGCGTGTTCGCAGCACTGTCCTGTTGGTCCTGGGTCCCTTCCCGCCCACATTAAGTTGGGATTACCTTTTCCATTTTGAATCGGGTGGTATTGAATTTAACAGTGGAATCGGCAGTAGCGGCACTTTCACCATACTGAGCCGTGTTAACTAAGAAGTCCCAGCCTGAGGACCTCGGGACCCTCCCCGGCAGAGCCGAGCCCTGGGCTGCACGGGCACAGGAGGAAACAGACTGAGACCGGCTTCAATGTTTTGGGGGCACAGGGGCTAGTGTAACCAACAAAAAGCAAATAAGTTTGGGGCAGCAGGGGTGTGGCCTCTTAAAGAGACCCAGCTGTAGGGTGCAAAGTGGTACAGTGGCCTCCCTTCCACTCCACCCACCACCCCTCCCCTCCTTCCAGGGCTGCCTGCAGGCCTGACACCAAGGGTGGCAGTCCATGACTGGGAGGACTGGGTCCCTGCCTCTCCTGACATGGGCACTGTCTGTCCAGTCCAGACGCTCCGGAGGGGAGGTCAGCAGTACTTACAGGGCTCCCCAGGAGTGGCCATGGTCCTGGCTGCAAGCCCAGCACCTGGGACCCAGAGGTGGCCTGTGACAGCCTTCCACCTGTAACGTGCTCTGTCACCTTCCCGACTTCTCTCTTCAGGCCAGGCTCACTGGCTCCACAGGGACAGAAGCCACAAGGCAGATCAAGTAGGTGGTAGAATTTCAACTTTATTTGGCCGATGTGTTCAATTGCAGTATTGGGAAGATCGCCTGGAGAACTCATCACAAAGGGGCTCCCCCCGCCAGACAGGAACTAAGGTTTCTTGTGTCCCAGTCGGCCTCTGGCCACCATGCATAGCAAAGGGTCAGGCATCGCAGGGCCAGGCCAAAGAGGGGTGACGGGCCCACGCAGGCCTGCCCTGGGCCTGAGCAGAGAAGTACTTCCTGCCCAAGGGGGACTCACCCTCGGCCAGAGACCCCAAGTGCCCATCAAACCTGAAGAACAAAAAGCCTAGCTCAGTTGGGGCCATACTGGCCCGAGGTGAAGAAGGCCAGCCCAGGCTGTCCCTGGCCCTGGGGGGAGAAGGACCCCAGGGAGGCTGGCCACGCAGAGACCCTGACACCGAAAACGCCCAGCGACCCTGTCCACAGGCAGGCTTCCTGGAGGCGGGGCGCCCCACGGGCTCCCCATGTCCCGGTGCACGCCGACAGACGTGGCACAGGAGGACGGCAGGATGACCGCGGGGTGGGGAGGTGGACGTGTGTGAGGAGAAGCGTGACAAGTCCCTGGGTCTTCGGTCGCTGCCCCTGCAGGAGGTCCTGGGTCGCACAGGCAACGTGCCGGAGCACCACCCGAGGTGTGGGCGTCTGGGGTCCACTCGCCCCTCAGCCTCACAACTCGTCCTTCAAGGCTTTCTGGTCCTCGTCCTCCTCCAAGTCCGGCTCCTCCGCCTCCTCAAGGTCCTCGAGGTCCTGTGCGTGATGGGGGAGGGCCAACACGGCACACCGTGAGGACCCACCCCCCACGGCGAACGTGGAGGGGCGAGTGCCACTGCCAGGTCTCCAGTGGACGGCCAGCAATGCCAGGCACCCTGTGTAGAACCCACTGCCCCTTCTGCTCTGCCACCCAGGGGGTCCCTCTCATGGAGGCAGAGTGCACTTCAGCACGTGGGAGAGCTGGCCTGCTGACCACCAGCCCTGACCGAGACAAAAGCTCCTTCCTGTGAGAACCCTGTGCCCGCAACCCAAGAGGCTAGGGCTCCAAGGGCACCAGGAGCCCCACTGCTCAGTCCAGAGGGAGCAGACACCAGCCATGGGCGCTGCAGGGTGCAGTCTCCTGTGCTCATACACCTGGGAGACCGCCTGGTGAGCACCCAACCCCCCGCCACCCTCCCCCAACCCCGTGTGGGCACGAAGACAACTCACATCGCCGTCCCCAGCCCCGTCCT